TATATCCTGATTCGTTTTACACCCTGCCCTCTCTCTCTCTTTCCCTAGATCCACTTCCCATCTCTATGGACTCTGCACCCATGTTTCATACCATCTCTTTTATTTTGCTCCCTGAATTATTTGTGTTTTGAGTCTGCTGTATTATAAAAGCCACGTGATATTGCATTTTGAATATCTGCTTTATTTCCTGTAGTGTTGTCTCAATATCCATCCATTATCTTACAAGCAACACAAGTTTGTCCTTCTTTGTGGCTGAGTAATACTCCATTATGTATTTATACCATGTTTTCTTTATCCGTTCATCTGTTGGTTGGCATATGGGCTTGTTCCATAATTTAGTTGTTGTAAGTTATGTTGCTAAATACATAGGTATGCCTCTATCACTGTGGTATGGTGACTTCAGCTCTTTCAGGAAGACACCCAGAAGTACAGCTGAGTCAATTTTAGTTTTCTGCAATTTAAGTCAATATCATTTTCTGCCTATAATGGAATCCTAATGGAGCCTCTGGTTCCCATTCTTATTTGATTATAATCTCATGTAGTGGGATGTTTGAAAATGAATGAGATCATACCACTCCGCAAATTAAGACCTCCTATGGTAAAACACAAGCAGTTTAACAGCACCTCAGGATCCTCAACAGCTTGCTGTCTGTCTGTCACTCCCAGTGGGCCAGGAACCATTTCAGCTCCTGCTGTCGACATACTAACCAAACTCTTAGGGGGCTCCCTGAGCACTCTGATGTTTCTTACTGTGACTTCCCTGGGACAGAACTCCTTCCTCCACCCTCTTACACCTGCTCCCTCCCTTTGCCTGGCTCTGTGCTCTACCACCTCCCCTGAGAGCTTCACCCACCCCTCCATGTCTTTCTGTGCTCTGCACCTACTTTCTTTCTCCTGTGTGAACTAATCATCACCTGCCATGTTTTCTATTTGTGTATCTGCCCCTTCACCTTCTAGGACAATGAAGCTTCCCGGCAAGTGACTTATCAAGTGTATTCAAATACACTCAAGCCTAGAAAAGTGTCTGGCATTCATTGAAAAAAAGAATCAACATGTATTTGTTGAATTAGTGCATGAACACATAAATGAGAACTTTTGAGTGTGGGGTTAGGGTTTTGTTTGTGTTGCTGTTGATCACAGCTGCCTGAAAGAAATGAGAAGGAACTGCTGTGTTAGTTTTCTTATTGCAATGAGAAAATACCTGACACCCACAACTTGAAGAAGAAAAAGTACCAGATGTGGAGGCACACACTGGGGATCCCAGCACTCTGGGAGGCTGAGGCAGGAAGGTCACAAGTTCAAGCCTAGCCTGAGCAATTTTGTAATTTAGTAAGACCATGTCTCAAAATAAAAAAATACAAAAAGGTGCTGGTAGTTCATTGCAAAGGCTCTGGGTTCAATACCCAGTACACCAAAATTTAAAAAGTGGAGGAATTGGAGAAGAAGGAAGAGTAAGAACAGGAGGGAGAGACTCGTGTTGGCTCAGTTTCAGAGGTTTCAGCTTGGGATTGGCTGGCTCCAGGTATAAATATCATGGCTGAAGGACATGCTGGAGACAAGCTGTTTATCTCCATCAGGAAGGAGAGAGGTGGGCGGGGGCTTCCCCCCGCTAGGTCCCATCTCCTAACAGCTCATTTGCTCATTCGGCTATGCACTCATCAGAGGACTGATTCACCGAATGAGGTCAGCTCCTGCACGATCCAGAAACCCACCTGTGAAGGCGTGAGTCTTCTAGAGTACATTTTTGCTCCAGTCTCTAATTACTGCCTGTGCTCACCAAAATACCTGTGGCTTTCCTCTAGGGAAACCATTTGTCCTTCCGGTGTGCAGGTAGGGTGCTAGAAGAGTGCCATTGTTCTGGGAAGACAGAGTCTTGTCAAGAGCTGGGGTGAGGTGCCCATGGGCTCAGAGCTGGAAAACAAGAGTCAGGAGTAAATTCCCTCTGCCTGAGTCTAAAGGCTGTGCTCTTTCAGCTGAGGAATATTACACTAGGCACAGTGGCAGGGACACTAATATTAATTATAATATTCAAATAGAATTGCAGTGATTTAAAGGAATGGAAGAATGTCACCCACTCTCCTGCTCATGTTCTCTAGTAGGCACCTGACATTTTCCCTTCAAAGTGAAATGAGATTTTATAGGTTTGGATAATGAGACTATTTTTTTCCACAGGGTTCAGAATGTTTTTTCATTGTCCTTTTGGTTGTCTCGCTATTTACTTTACAGAGCCACTGTTATTCTAGAACTTTTCTTAGCAGGACAAATTCCCCCCAGTGTGTAAGGTTTATTTAATCTTTAATTTGGGTTAGGTGATTTGGAAAGCTGGACTTATCTACTGAGGTAGATCTTGGAATATCAAAGGACAAGAAAATTTCTCTGAACCAGTAATGTTGGGGGCCCTGCCCTGCACAGCATAAGCTGGGTGCCATGGTAAGTAGGGGATAAATCATTAGGGGTTCACTGTGGAACACCCAGTAACAGTACTTTTCTAAAATATTTCTAAAATTTATTTCTCTGTATTGAGCTTGGGCTGGTGGAATTTTATCCAAATTCAATGTCCACACAACTCATCTGTTTCCAAATTCAGATATAGAGTGTTTTTGGAAGCCCATAAGCTCCTCCTACTATGCAGAGGTGAGTGCAGGCCCCTCCTCTGATGCTGTAGGTGAGCTATGCTAGTTTTTGAGATTTTCACTAGGTAATCACATGATATCCATGGATCATGCCCAGTTTCTTTCCTAAGTAGCATGAGCCTGAGCTTTGGGCTGTGTGCAGCAATGGTTTACTCATTCTCATGGCTGTCTTGCCTCCCGTTGTACAGACAGAGGCTTTATTGGTCTGTCTCCAGTGACAAACAGCTGGGAGGCTCCCACTATGGGGAGGCTCCCACTATAGGTCATGTTTCCCAGACACAAGGACTGAGTCAGGAGTTCTGATACAAATGACTCAGGAGAGGATGCTCTTAGAAGAAACCAATAAAGATGTGAAGGGAGCAGGATGGGGAAAGTTCTAGAGACAAATGTGCGTTCTGTAAAGCCAAGCCATGGCTTGATCTTGAGGGAATGTAATCACCTCAGAATCTGTCCTGCCTGGTGGCAAAGGAATAGGGGTTTGGAATTGGAGTCAACTGGAGTCAAGCTTGCCCAAGGTCATGGGCATGGGCTTAATTCTCAGGCAGCTTTTGGAAAGGCAATCTACAAAATATTTTTATTTTTATTTTTATTTGGGTATATGTGTTTAGGTCTGGCTCTACTAGATACTGCCTAGGAGTTTCTCAAAAATGGTTGTTTCAGTTTATATTCCCACTAGTGGATTATTCAATTTCAATGCAATGCATTCTTGGTACTTTCAAGCTTTTAAATTTTTAGTCATTCTAGTCGATTTAAATAATGTTTCCTTATATTGAACACACTTTAATGTTTGCTGATTGTGTAGATTTAGTGTTCTTGTTTTTATTTTTTAGTTGTGTTGTCTGACTTTCATTGAATTTACAAGTGTGTGTGTGTGTGTGTGTGTGTGTGTGTGTGTGTTAAACATTCTGGATATAAGAAAGTTCTTTATGAATAATATTTGTTTAAAACATCTTTCTACCACCCTGTGGCTTCCTATTTTATTCATTTAAGGATGTCAGTTGATGAATAGAAGTCCCTAATTTTAGTGTAGTTCCAATCTTTTCTTGTAGGAAGAAGGATTTGTTTTTGTGTATGTATTGTTTAAGAAAATGTGTCTATTTCAAAGTCATACATGCTTTCTCTTCTAAAAACTTTACTTTTTAACTAACTAGGTTCATGGGTGGAAATAGCTGCAGATAAGTTCAAAGATGACACAGAGATTTCCCGTGCAGTCTCCCCTTGGATATCACCACGGTGAATGTCACACGTTAGCATGGCACAGGTGTAACAACTTACGAGCCAGTGCCAAAGGAAGCATTATTATTAGCTGATGTTCATATTTTGGGGTTTTTTCTTGGCTCTTTCCCCCAATATCCTTTTTTTATTCCAGTGTCCCATCCAGGACACCGTATTGCAGTTAGTCGTCATAGTGCCTCGATGCTTCTGAGACAGGACAGTTTCTCAGATTTCCCTGGCTTTGGTGCCTCACGATTCTGAAGATTGTGAGTCAAATGTTTTGTAGACCTTCTTTAAATTTTGATTCATCTGATGTCTTTCCCTGTTTAGAACAAGGTTTGGGGTTTTGAGAAGGAAGACCACAAAAGTGAAGTATCTTTTCCAACACGGGGTGAAGGATCCTGCTATGGACATAATTTATCACTGATGCTGTCAGCTTGGCTCAGTCCACTAAAGCAATATTGCTCTTCTCCTTCTTTTCATACTGAAGTCTTAAGGTACGGGAAGTTATGCCTCAACTCGGTGATGGCGAAGGCAGAGCAGGTATATATACATTTTTTTCAAACTTCTTTCAATGGGGGGATTTGTCTCTTCTCTTTCATTTATTTACTCAACCATTTATTAACATCAGTATGCATGCATAGGCATTTGCTTTATATGCAGAGTTATTTATTTTGCTGCTCAAATTGTTTGAGGCTTGTCATATGTCTCTTCTTATTGGCATTTGTGTCCTTTGACATGGGTCTTTCCTTCTAGTAAGTATTTCTTTCCTTTCTGGCATACAAGACGTTTCAGGCTCACTCGGCACATTCCATGGCCCTGCCCACAAAGCAGCCATTTTTCCTAGGAGCCTTGGTGCCTTTTATCAGAAAATCGTATTAGAAACCAAGATCTGGGTGCTAGATATGCTCCTTGCTACTGGGGTGTCACTGCGTCTAGGCCTTTTCAGAGCTAAGGAATCTATGTGTGTGTGCAGTAAAGCTGTACACATCCACATATCTAGAAGAGGTATGATCACAAAATATGGTGAATGTTTAAAATTTAACATGGAAAAAATTGTATTGCCATTAACCCCTCTCAAAATACCTACCTTCAACACACATTGTTCTTGTCTCTTTCTGAAGTAGCTCTGGAAGTGCTCTTTTGGGAGGGTCTTTAGTTGTACTGTTGTGACTGTCTTGATGTCCTGAGTTGATTCTGACTTTAAGTGAGGATCCAGCAGTCGCATGGTATCAGGGCTAATGAGGACACGTGGTGATGTTTTTACAAGTCTGCCTTTCTGTTGGATGGCACTCAGGGCCAGCAGATTTTGATTCTACTTCACAGAGATACTCATGACAGAGGATTTCCAACACTGCTTCAGAACACGATGAGGATGATGGATGGGATAAGCATGTTTAAACAAAGTGGTGGTGGGGAAGAGGTCTTCTGCGGGACTAATGGCAACATGTCTTTTACTGTAATAGATTTTTTATTTACACATACACACCATGTATTGATCAGCCCTTGTCATTATTTTTATGCCTATCAAATAATAGTTACATTAAGCTAAACATTAGGAGAAATAACTGTACCAACTAGAATACAATGATTGTGTACAGTTCCTTTTCTCCTTGGTCTAATGGTTTCTATCCCTTTCTAAAGTGACTTGGATTGGCACCTTTCCCCCATCTCCTTCAGAAAGGTTATTTCACACATATGTAATATATTTAGATTCTTTTGCCATAATCTGAATTCTGTCTTGAGATCTTCTGCCCTCTTATTTTTTAAAACAAGCATACATTAAGATCTATTCTTTGTGCTGTGAAGTTCTCTAGGCTTTAGATAAACAGATAGTGTCATGTATCTGCTGCCACTTACTTAGTCACACAAAATAGTTTCACAGCCCTAAAAAGTCCCCTGTCCTTCATCAACTCGCTCCCATCCTCATCTCCATAGCAACGACCTATCTGTTTTCTGTCTTTAAAGTTTTGTCTTTTCAGAACAAGACATAAATGGAAGCACACAGCATACAGTTCTATCAAGCTGGCTTCTTTCATTTTCAGCAATCTGCCCTCAAGTCGCCTCCATGTCGTCAAGGAGATGGGTGGTCCATTCCTCCTGATTGCTAAACGCCTCTCCAGTGTGTGGAGCTTCCAATTGATTCATTCGTTCACAACGTGGAGGTCTCCTGGGCTGTTTCCAATTTTTTCCATTATGAATAAAATTTTATAAACATTCAGGTGGAAATTTCTGTGTGAATACAGCCTTTTACTCCCTTGGGCAAATGTCTGTGAGTGTAATTACTGAGGCACACGGTAAGACTATGGTCAGCTCTGTAAGAAACTGCCAAACTGTTCTCCAAAGTGGCCGTCCAGTTGTGCATGCTCACAGAAAAGCTCGAGACATCCTGTCTCTCCTTGTCCTCCCCAGAGCTTGTTTTTTTTTTTCTTTTTCTTTTAGTCATTGTAATAGATATGAGTTGACATCACCCTCTCCTTTAACTTTTATTTCTGTCAGGATAATTGACATTGGGCCTCTTCTCTGCTTACTCACCATATGGATATCTTCTTGGATCAGGTCTCTGTTGATATCTTTGGGCTGCTTTAAATTTGCTTGTTTATTGTTGAGCTTTGAGACTTTGCAATTATTCAGTTAACTCCTTTATCAAGTATGTGATTTTAAGTGTTTTGACCCACTATATGCCTTCTTTGTTCATCTCTTAATAGTATCATTCATAGACTAATAATTTTTAATTTTACTTAATTCAGACATCAATTTGTCTTTCATGTAAAGGTTCACTTTTCAATTCTACAATACTTGTTGGTGTTGTATCAAAAAATCAATCACCAGACTCAAGGTCATGCAGATTTTCTCCTTGTCTTCTAGAAATTTTATAACTTTGCCTTTTACATTTAGGACTGTGATCCATTTTGTGTTAATTAGAAATTTTATTTTTTAAGCTCTTCCATTAGATCTAAAAATCTTGTGGAATTGATTTTTTATGTAGGTGACAAAATAAGGGTCAAAATTCATTTTGTCCAAATGAATTTAGTTGACACAGCACTACTTATTGAAAAGTTTGCCATTATTCAACACTCTGCAGTGTCACCTTTATTGTAAATGAGGTGTCCTTATTTGGCTAATTTTATTTCTAGACTATATTCTGGCCCATGGTATATTTGTCTGCCCTTGTACCAATGCCATGCAGTCTTAATTAATGTGGCTTTGTAAGAAGCATTTATATGGGGTAATGTAAATTCTCTAAGTTTTTAAAGATTGTCTTGGCTATTTTTGGCTTTTGGCATTTCCCTATGAATTTGAGAATTAGCGTTACATTTTCATAAAGGAATTTTGAAGTCTGATTAAGATAGCATCAAATCTATAGATCAACTGTGGACAATACAATATTCAATCTTAAAAATATTGACTCAAAGTAGAAAAATAACATATCCCTCCATTTATCTGGGTCTTAGTTTCTTTCAATAATTTTTTATAGTTTTATAGTTTTGTTTGTAGGCTTTTTGTTTGCATCTTTAATTAGATTTATTTATTTTTATTGCTCAGGACTAATATGCAAAAATAATACTGACTTAAAAAAAACTCTCCAGTGACAATTTAACAATAATTTCCTGATTCCTTGTTTGGGTACTGGTATCTCCTGCTGGCCTCTCTAGCTACAGGTGGCTGTTCTCCACTCTGCCCACCTTTTCTGACCTGATGGATTACTCACATACCCTTTAACTTCCTGTTCAGGTTGGCCAATGGGAGGGAGACCATGGGAAGGTTTTGGGAAAAAAGGAAGGTGCATCAGGATGTGTACCTCTCTAGCTCCATTCCTCAGGGACTGCCTCTAGCTGACTTTGTCTCTCACCTACAAAGAGAAAACCTTCCTCTCTGTGGTTGAAAATCTAATTGCCATGCAGTTGGCCCTGCTGGCTGGGAAGTGGGGAGCAACAGCACACTTAGATGTCTGAGTTGGAAGACAGGTATGAGGCTTATTGCCATCTCTGTGATTCTATGTTTGACTCACGAATCACTACCTCCTTTTAACGTCAACTCTTCCAACTACAAGAGAAAATGGGACTTTGTTATTCTTGACAAGTAGCATGTCCAGGAGCAACTCTGGCATCAGTAATGCATCCAGGACATTTTCTTCTTCTCAGCCCAGATTGGCTTCAAAACCCTTTTCCCCGTGACCAGTGTTAATAGGTCCATGTTAGTTCAGGAAGTAAACCATACATTCAGTACTGATGCTAAAGCAAAGAAATCTGAGTGTTTGCTGTGTGCATTACTGCATGTGATTTCACCAGTTCAAGCATCGCACCAATAGTAACTATGCACTATTGTTTTTCCCCACTTTATAGATAAGGAATATAATGATCAGTCTTGCTTGTCTAACTGAGCTGCCTCGAAGATTAGCAACACTTCTGGGTGTGGGTCACGCGGTATGAACTTGAGGATTCTATCTGGTCCTTGGCTCCTTCCTCTTGGATTCTTCCTCTGCTGTATGCTTCCTGCTATGCGATGAGCAGCTTTCCTCTTCCATGTCCTTCCTCTATGATGTTTCTGGTTGTAACTGTGGCTAATTTCAGTTCTGCCTGCATGTCTTCCCCTCCTTTGGTCCATTTTTGTGTCTCATGTCGGGCTCTGTCTTACAAAGTGACTCACAATTCTCCTTATCATGCAAAATGTGGCAAGATGCCCACATCACTCTGTTACCTACCCCCATCTGTATGAAGGTGGGCTGTCAGTATCTTTGACTTGATGGCAGATAACCCACCTGTTTGATGTGTATGACTCACAGATCTTCTTGAAGTAGAGGATTTTGTCTTATTGCACAGCCTGTAAGGCAATTATGATTCATTCCCATTTCACAGTTGGGAAACCAATTCAAAGAATCCAACTGACTCACTAGATCATAAGTTGCAGAGCAAGGCTTTAAAGTTGGGGCTTCATTCTAAAATGCATAAAAGGGGGGATATAGGGCTTGCCAGCCCCTCAGAGAAAATACAGGGCCTTTGGAATCCACATGGGGTCAGGAAAAAGAAGGGCTTCTTTGAAGTGAGGAGACAACGAATCACATCTCTTGGTCTCTATGTGCAACATGTTGACACTTGGCTTTTCTACCTCTCAGACCAATGAGGAAATAGCTCTATGTGTAGGTAGATGTGAAGCTATGTTTTTGGTACCATCTGTTTGCTTCTGCTCCTATTCCTGGCACTCCTTTGAGACTAACTGGAGTTTCTCTGGCACCAGTTCTTGAACCTCAAGCTGGTGTCACCCTGTAGAGTCTCAAGCAGGGCAGAGCAGGGGCAGGAGAGGAAGCTCTGGGCTTCCTTGGGACACATGACTGAGAACTTCCACCCTGGCTCGCGTCGGGTTTGAGGTGGGTGTGGGTGAATAGGGGCTCAGGGTGAAGAGCAGGTAAGTCAAGGTCAGGGTGTTGTCAGGACAGAGAACATTCCAGTCCAGACAGGAACTGTGTACTTAATGGGTTACCTTGGCAGAGCTCAGAGAGGAAGAACAATGAAAGTGTGCAAAGGAGGCTCAGGTGCCAGGGCCTTCTTTTAGGATTTCTGCTTATTACCTGGGACATCAAGATGCTTACCAAAGAAGCAGGTTTAATGCAAGATATACAAATATATAAGAATGTATAAGACAGGCTTACAATGGTGTCCCCAGAGTCAGATGTGGAAGAGTGCGAAAGTTCTGTCTGCACGCTGGAGATCCAAAGGATCCAGTTGACGGCCTGGAGGTCATTGTAGAATCTTGTGCGAGTCACGATATAGTTCTTCAGGAGGTTGAAGGGCCTGGTGAAGGATCTGTGCTGAGACTGAAGACTCTGCTCTGGAGAATCAACATGATGTCCAACTTGAAGGCAAAGACTCGAGCTCCTCCACAGGAACAGAAGGTAGCCCACCTTCTTCGTTTCCCCTTTAAACCATTCAGGTTAGAAGCCACCCTTGGGTGGGTCTTCTTTCTTCAGTAAATCAGCTCAGCCACACTCAGAACTATGCTGACCCAATTTGGTTGAGTGTTTCTTACTCAAATTTACACAATAAGTTCACCATCACACAGACTCACCCCTTCTGAGCTTAGGGAGGTTGAGCTTTCAGAAGACAGAGGATCAGGAGGCAGCACTGATTCAGGCATACACTGACATAGCCAGCAAACAAGAGTCCTGCTCACTCAGTCTTCAGATTTTCACAGTTGTCTTTCTGCCCCTCCTCTCTGCAGTTTACAAACAGATGGAGCTGAAGACGGTAATAACGGGGCTTCATTTTCACCCTTTCCAAGTTCATTATCCTGACTTGGCCAATCTAGCTGCATAACTGTGGACCCTGAGCAATGTCCAAGACAGCTCCATTACTTCTGTATTTTGAGTGCAGATTCTGTGTAGTGTAACTTGGAAACTGCTCAGGGTCTTCTGAGAAATGCTCTACTTGCTGCTCTGGACTGCAATACCACCGTGTCTCTGCCAAGAGTTGTGTTGCAACCTCATCCCCATGCAACAGTATTAAGAGGTGGGACCCTGAGGATGGGATTGGGCAAGAGGACTCCACCCTCACAGTGGGATTAGCACCTAATAAAAGAGCTGGAGGAAACTGCGAGGCCCTTTTGCCCTCCTCTCTCTTTCCTAATGCGCGGACATAACATCTGTTACCTCTGCAGCATGCAGCAAGAAGACACAATTTGGGAGTAGAGATCAGCCCTTGACAGACACAGAACCCACTACACCCTTATTTTAGATTTCTCATCCCCCAGATGTGTGCAGAGTACGTTTCCATTACTTATAAATTACCCCATCTTAGATATCTTTATAACAGCATGAACAGACTAAGACATGGGCCATTAGTGGAAGAAAGTGTCAAATAAGAATTTCACCTTCCTCATAGGCTGAGATTCCTGCACTCTGGAATTCAGTGAACTCCCTGCCAGTTCATGGGATGGAACATTCTCCACAGAGATATTCTCAGAACCCTGTCCTTACTTTCTAGAAGGGTCCTTGCACTGGAATCACATGTGATCGAGCTGTTCCCGACTCCCTCCCAGGCTCCTCAAAACTGATGACCCATCATCTCAATAGCCACATCATGGTCTGACCCCCAATGACCTCTGCAGGGTAATCTCTCCACCCTTCCATGTACCCTGTGTACACAGCCACTCTCCT